TAGAGGGTATCATCGTCACAACCAAATTGAAGCCTACGAGTCAAGAAAACTCACCGGCAAATCCCTAAAAAGTGGTATCTGTACTCTACATCTGTCCTCCTCGATTTGGTTAGTTAAGGTTATATGTCAACTTCGATGCATGTAAGTGTGTCTGTCTTTGTATGTGTACGTGCCTGTTTGTGTTCGCTTATGCACGAAACCGCAGTGATGGCTCAGAGTAATTCGGACAGCAAAAAGGAACGTCTGTTTTTGGCCCTCAAGGTTTGCTGACCCCTATCGCCCTCTTTCTTCATTTAAGCTATAACCATCACTCCGATTTTCGCCAGCTGTATGAATCCTTCTACAATGGAACTCAGACTAATGCCGATATTACCAGGTACCTGCAATTGGAATGCTGGACAGACGTTTAGTTGTCAAGTCTGCATCAGTTAGGATACCACTTATACCGACCAAATATCTAAAAGAAGCGAGGTCAGATGCACAAGATGGCGATTTTGTTTTCCTCGTAAATATCCTGACGAATGAGGCATAAAGTAAATGGGTATAACTAAATGACGGTGTCCACTCCAAATGGCTCCGGACAGAAGAAATTTGTGGAGTTGGCTGAATTGACTGAATTGGTGCCAGTGCATCGGCCTGAAGTAAGCCCTAAAAAACACATGTTGTCTTCTCATCGCCAGCCGACATGTCGTTTGAAACGGCCGAGGTAAGTGTGACAAAAGAGCACAAGTGCCAAGTGACGCCTGGCGAGGGGGGTGGTGAGATACAAACAGACAGACAAATAGACATACAGATATGCGGACAGACAGACGGAGAGAATAGGTACAGTTGCGAACCGAACGGGTCCATCATGATTGTCTCACAGACGGACTTCCATGAACTACAATTGATGCTGGCGTACCGTCCATTTCGCTTGGAACCACGGCTTGAAGGGATTCACTCATAATTTAGCCTCACCAACAATTAAGGAGGATTGCCTTGGATTTAGTGCTACCGGATTGTGCGAAGACGACTCCAGCTCGCCGTCCTATCATCCCGAAGAATCTATGTTGAACTTTCGTTTGTCATGTTTCGATAAGTACATGATGAAGAGATTTGTCGGCCAATCTCACCCGAAGACGTCGGCTGATTTGCTGCGTCTGTTTGGCGTTAATACGACGTTCAGGTTGATCGTGTACTTCCTTACGAAATCAAAGTCCTCATGTGATTCTTCGAAACCCGCATTTGCTTCGCGTATACATGTTTCGATAAGTTTCAGAGTCAGAAACCATTATTTAGAAAATATTCACCAGAAATAACCAACTAAGTAGGCTTTTGAGACTACCAATAAATCAGACATACAAAATGTGTTCATTCTATTTCGTTTAGTGTGATGAAGGAGTGGTAGTTGAATTTTCCCACAAGCATGAAGTTTCAGCCTTACCTTCCAAAAGGTGTTTTCATACAGCACACCCAGCGAGGCTTAAGCCATGACGGGAGGCTGAACTGTCAGGGTTCGAGCCTCATTGGGGGTACCGATGCGATCCAGGCGAGGTCGAAACTGCAGTCAACTTCAGCCCGGATGAAAATAACTTTTGGGGAACAAAGCTATGTGAAATTGATTGGAAACGTAAGATCTACTAATCTGGTTGTGGGAAAATTCAACCAGCAGTCTAGCATCACCTCAAACGAATCTGGGTGGACACATCTCACAAACTTTATTGGGTTAGAGTTTTTGTAGTATTTTTCCTAAATGCTGGTTTCTTAATTTGAAGATTTTTGTCACATCACCGACGAAAGCTCAGCATGGATGCTTCGAGATGGCAGGACTATGAGTCGAGGTTTTCTTTGCACAATACAACAGTCACACGTGCAAGGCAATCCTCCTTCGGTGTGCGGTAAGTTCAAGCTGCAAACGAATCTCTTACAGCCAACTTTTCAGACGAAACGAAAGGCATTCTTCCAAATCGAGCTTATCTTCGTATTTGCGTTTGTTTCCAAGTTTACAAGCTTTCAGTAGCACATGAACAAGTGTTTCATACAAAAGGTGAGCTAAGACGGATAGTTGAATTTTTCCACAATCATATAAGTAGACCTCACGTTTCTACTGAATTTCGCATAACCTTGCTATCCAAAATATATTTTCATATAGGCCGAGCTAGACCACAATTTCAACTCCGCCTGAACCGGTATCATCAGCACCCCAAGCGGGACTCGAATCTGGGTTAAGTTGTCTAGTTGGCATGCAGCACAACCCGGGTCCAAATCCCACTGTGGTCGCTGATGAGACCAGTTGCAACGAGGTCGAAACTGCAGAATAGAAATACCTTTTGGAAGGCAGGATTGTGTGAAATTCAATGGAAACGTGAGGTCTACACATAGCATCGTGGTAAAAATGCAATTTTTCTTCTTGCATCACCTCCTACGAACTAGGATGATTATAGCTTTCATTAAGTCTCATCTGGAGTAGAAAAATACCGGCCAAACCGGCGGTCTGATCGAATGGAGAACTCGCCTGATCGTCGGCCGCCTCTTCGCTCTGGCGCATCTGCATGCTTGGCAGGACTCGAACCCAGAGCACCACTTGCCGAGCGCCGACACGCCGACCAGCACAACGCAGGACGCGAGTAGCCTTCAGTGTGGCCATAACAGGCCACAATAGCTCATTCACAATCATCTTGGATAGCATTTTGGCCAATTTCATTTCACACGTCGGCTCGCGCGATTGAAAGGCTATTGAGGCAATTTTACAACAAATTGAGGGCTCATTGCTGTTGCACTGCTTTCAGTTGAGGTAACTGCAATGTTCCTGCTGAGGCTGTTCACGAGATCTCCTCTTTCAGTTCCGATGAAGACGGAAAGGTCTGCTGCTGTTTTACCATTAGAAGGATATTGCCAAAATTTGATCTCATTACTTCGAAAACTTTTTCAACACCAATTCATGGTTTTTTATATGCTCACAGCAATAGCTAAGCAATAACTGAGAATATATATAAATACAAAATTATGGCTATCAAATTATTTGGTTATTTCCTTTTCATGTCAATCCACTTACTTTTATAGAAAAGAGGAGAGACGTGATTACAAATGTACAATTACAATAGCATTTAATACAATTAGTCTAGATTCAATGAATTGTTGAGCTCACTTCCATTTCGAGTTGAAGTGTTGGGTGAAGAGATTCGAAGGTCGCTTCCACATAAAGACGAAGGAGGATTCCTCTTGACCAGCTGTCGATTGGCTTAACTGGAAGATTCATGCCGTCAAATGACGGACTAAAGCTTAGCCACTTTTAACCGGAATCGAACGAGATTGCCTCGGAAACAGCGTCAGCATGAATCTTCCAGTTAAGCCAATCGACAGCTGGTCAAGAGGAATCCTCCGTCGTCTTCTAGTGGAACCGACCTTCGAATCTCTTCACCCAACACTTCCACTCGAAATGGAAGTAAGC